TGTAGAGTATGATTAAGAGGGATGAACTCGAGCTCCGCCAAGCTCGCTGTTCCTTGTTGTCAAGGTGACTAGGTTGGAAGCAAGTCTGGACGCCCGAGGTACTCGACCTCGGGTTATGTGAGATCGGACTGTGACCTCGGACAACTACGGGCTGTGTGAGGTTAGACTGCTATCTCGAACTACTACCACTACAATTGGTACCATTTTTTCATTCTCAACATTCACCTGTGTTTCTTTGCTTAGGTGGAATTCTGCACCATTTTGTTTACTACTCTTTTATTAATGTTAAAAAATCTTAATTTTAATTAGATATTAAATGATATATTCTTTGATTCTATATATATAGTGAAAAACTAATAAAGAAAAATTTGTCACTTATTAACTCCATATGTATTTTTTAATTTATCCTTCTTTTGACACATGATAAAATTTTTCCTTTTTAATAAATTTTTTTGTCATTTTCTTATACATACTACTGTTATTAAATGGGGTGAGTTACTAAGTCAAAATTTTTGAATAAAAAAAAATAAAGTCAAATATGGCACCAGAAGTTAATTAATATTAATTATGATTATCATATTCTTAAGAGTTTATTTAGTTCGTCCTTTTAAAAATATATTAAATATATTTTTTATCATAAATTTATATTAAAAATAAAAATTAACTTTTAATTTATTAATTATCTAATTAAATTTACTTAATACTAAAATTAATATTATCTTTTTTATTTTTATATATATTTATAATAAAGAGATATAATAAACATATCTTATCCTGGATCCTAAACGCCCTACCCTTAATTAAGTGCTTTTATTTTTTATTTTTTGGGCTTAATTGTTTTCTATATTTGGGGTGGTACTCTTTGTTAACTTGGAGAATAGGGATGGTAATTGATCCCACGGCACGGAAACTCCCTCCCATCCCCATTTTGACTAATGATGAGTATAGGGATCCTCACGAGAAGTTTTGGTGGAGTATCAAAAATGACTTTCGTCTCCATATTCACTAAAAATGATAGGACCTTGCAAGTATTCGAAATCCTCACTAAGTATTAAATATATAGAATTTAACTTCATTTTTTTCTTGATAAATAAAAAGATTAAAAATTTAAAACAATTCAAATAAATAAATACATTAACATATAGTGTAGCAAATCAATATCTGATAACCAATTGTAGCAAATATACACTACCATACACGTCTAACAAGTCTAGCAACAAATTCATAAAAAAAAATACATGAACTGCCATTCATGTTCAAGTTGAATTAGGTTATTGAATTGGTTTGAGAAGTTTAGAACTGGAAAAAGAATTAGGCTGGATAATTTAGGTTAAGTCGGGTCAACCGATTAAATTTGGTGAATAAAAATTAATTAAAAATATATTTACAAAAATATATATTGACAAATTTATATATATTATTATATATAAATCCACACAGGTCTCTACCGGGAGAAGGAAATTTCCCATAAAATTTTCCAAAAAAAAAAACCTCCATCTCTGTCATAAAAAGAAATATTCTTGAAATTTTCATCCCTACAATAGAAATTTCCGTGGAATTTCACAGGTCTTGGAGAAAATTGTCATCTTTAATGAAGAATACTAATAGAAATGACATGACTAAAATTATTTGAGTTTGAAATGGGGAGCGAAATGGGATGGATAAACGCAGTTTTCGCAAAAATTGTGGAGGAACAAAAATCTAGGAGAAAGAAAGAGGAAGGAAGAGCGAAAATGCAACGACAGCCTATTTTATATTTTAAAAATTAAGAAAGAAATTACATGACATTTTATCTCATAAAATTTTCTTATAATTTCGTCTCCTCTCCCACTACTTTAACTTAAATTTCTTTTTAAATTGAAAAATAATAAAAGAGATGAATTATTTAGATGAAATCTTGGAATCAAAATACCCATTCGAATGTTTAATACAGAAAATAAAAGAAAAACAGCTGAAATAGTAGAATAGATGCGGCTTGCCACTTCCGTTCATTTTTTTTTTATATTTATAAAAATTATTTAAATTTTTATCTAAGCTTTAGGGTCACAAGAGTTCATGATTTAGAGTTTATACTTTTAGGTTACAAAATTTAGAATTTTTTTTTTAATGTTGGTTGCACAACGGGAGATAACTCTCTTCACCTCTTATTCTCACTTCATTCGCATGCCATGCGACTTGAACTTAAGATTTCTTACTTTCAACGAAAAGATATTACAACTGAGTTATTTAGGCCGATGGCAAAATTTAGAATTTAACATGAAGAATTCAAAATTTAAGGTTTAGACTTTAAAGTTATCAAATTTTTGCATTTAGATTTATAATTTTATAGTTTTGGATTTAGAATTTAGAATTTAAAATTTATGATTTAGAGTTTTTAGGTTCAAATTTGGCTTGTCATGTCATTGGTTGCATTTTTTCATCCTCAACATTCATCTATGTATCACTAAGGTAGAATTTAAGAGGCTTGTTGCTGAAAGTGCAAAGGGTGATCAGAAGAGGGACACTTTCAGCAACCTGTCCCTTGTTGCTGAAAGTGCAAGGGGTGGCTGGCCGGAAATGGTAGTAACAAGGACACTTTCAGCAACCTGTCCCTTGTTGTTGAAAGTGCAAGGGGTGGCCGGCTGGAAATGGTAGTAACAAGGGCACTTTTAGCAACATGCCCCTTGTTGTTGAAAGTGCAAGGGATGAAGCCGGTCAAAGAGGTTAATATCAGCAACATATTCCTTGTTGCTGATGTTTGATTGGTAAAAAAAAGCAACAACAGCAACAAGGTATATGCTGCTAATACTTAAAGTAGTTGGAAACTTTTTCAGCAACATAGCTCTTGTTGCTGAAAGTGAATTACAGCAACAAGGAACTCGTTGCTGAAAAGTGGAGCTCATTTAAATGGGAAAGAATTCACCAGAAAATATCAGCAAGATAGAATATGTTGCTGAAGCAACAAGAAGTGTATTGGTGAAAGTGGGGCAACTTTCTGCATGGTTTGGTGCAAGGAGATGTACTGTAGCACTTTCAGCAACATAGGACTTGTTGCTGATACTTATTTTTAGCATCAAAAAATCCCATGTTGCTGATATTTTGTTGGTAAAAACCGAAATTTTAGTAGTGCTTTTATCTAAAAAATTATGATAAATATCAATTATTAAAAGTAAAAAAATAAATGGTTAAAATTTTATATAAGTGTAGTATTTAAGATTTATATGTAAAACTTATATGTAAATAGATTCTCACACTAACTCTATAGTTTAATATTTCTATAATGACTGTTCAAAAAAAAAATATTTCTATAATGACAAGAATTCAACTATATCTCTTAACAATGATATAACGATG